TATAAAAAAGATGTAATATAAATATTATATATAACATTAGTTAATTTTATTTTTATGAACTTATAATCATGATTTTGAGGGATTAAGAGTGCGAATTCGTTCCTGACATCTAGAATTACAAATCAGCTTTACACGGCTGACGAGAACCGCGATAACGCGCGACTTCTTTCCCTTCGATTTCCATTTCCCTCGATATGCAGTACTTCGATATTCTACTCTCCAACTGGGCACTACAAGGGATTTCGATACGTTCCGCTAGACGCTGAGGTTGGCAACTTTGAAGGATATTTTTTATTCATGTGACGTGTTTGAGGGCGCGGAAAAACACATTCTCCCGATCCAAGCTAGGATCGAACCAGGGGAATCGTACTTCCACCTACGTCTCTCGGCTAGGATCTTCAATTTTAAAATTCTCCCCGAGCTGAGTCTACGCTCTCGTCCCTTCCGATCAAGATGAACGAGCCATCGTAAAGTAATTCGGTTGAAGTGCGGAAGCTGGACAGTTTTGATTCTGACAAACTTTAATGCATACATGTAGTAGTTTCTCTTTTACCTAGTTATTACAGTTTGAGTAGTAATAAATTTACACAAGTTTATTTACATAAATTACATTTTATTTATGTTTTATCTATCTAATAAGTATGTCAAATAATTACAACTGCGTATCTTAGTGGCACGTTTTAAGCAAAAACGATAATATCAAAGAAATAATTATATTTCCATTAGCTAAGGTTTCAGATCGTGCAATAAGAAGCTCAGAAAATCATGAAATAAAAATGAGAGAAAAATATGCCTCGATTTAAAGCAGAGTCCAGTCTTTCCCACGCGGCTGCACGACAAAACGGCGTTCAAAAAAAAGCTCTTTTGCTAATTGGTCGCTCAAAACTAAAGGACGCGGGGAAATTCCCGGGGATCTTGCGAGACGCAGTTCGTCCCGTGGGATATCAAGGAAATTCTACGGATCGGAGGCTTTTCAAATATTTAGCAGCAATATCCAATTTCGCCTTCTGTATCCCTACAATTCCTCATAGTTGATTTGCCGAGGCCGCCGTTCGACTAAAAGCCATTTTCAATCGATCGCAAGGTACATCTTTAATTAGAAAGCTAAAAAAGTCTCGTATAATAAAACATTGCACAATGATAATAAAGTTAATCGCACCACGATCGATGGAGCGAGTTTACTCTTTATCTTTACAATACCTTTTTTTATTAAAAAGAAATATAAATAGTATAATATAATAAAAAT